TGAATATCTCGGCAAATAGCCTCGAATTCAGTTTGGAAGGTTTGGGACCGAACTTCAACAGATGTGGGGGTATTGGAGGCCATTGGAGCAGGCTTAAGATGAGTGTTTAAAGGAGGGAATAAGGTCTGTAGTTTCTGGAAAATCGCGAGCTCACGAGGGGTTCTCTGGTAACCCTGGAGGTGCGAGGGTTTGATGGGTTTTGAAGGTTGGAGAAATGGGTCTTTGACAAAACTTGGGCGTCTGAGGATTCTGAAAGCGTAAGGAGAAAGCAAGGAAGTCTGGGTTTTTATATTGGCGCTAGAATTCGAAACGAAAGGGTGTGTCTCCCTCGAGAGACGTAACATTCTGTCAGCACGCTCAACAGGCGCAACGACGTGTCAAAAGCCCAGAGGCCATCGCTTCCTCTGACAAAGCGAAGCGACGCCCTGGGGAATGATGGCCTACACGACGTGCTTGAGGCATTAAATGCGCCGACTGGCCTGCGCATTTAATGCCCCAGTTGTCAATCACTTCAGAAAGGAATGCAAAGGGTCCATCCCTTGGAATCCATTCGGCCCCTACCCATGCCGAGGCCGAAGAATCCAGGGATGTGGGGGCAATGTTTGTGCCTGATAAATCACGGCCATAAGATGGCCGAAGGAGCCCTTTCTCTCGGCTCTGGCACTTGTTCGTAAAAACTGAAACGCAACGTTTCGCCAGGGTACTTCGCCTTCCTAAAGATAAAAGAAGAAATGCTAAGGCATGATCATCTCGGCCTCAAGCGTAGGCCGAGGCCGAGGCCGAACAAAATCGCGGTCAAGGCATTAAATGCAAATCATCATGTGACAGCAGGGTCCCAGGCTTCATTTAATGAAGTAGTGCCTGTTTAATGCAGCAAACCCATTGGCCACAAAGAAGCATTTAATGCATGAGGGAAGGTGGGAAGTGACTGAAGTCAGGATTTGGTGATGAAGATCAGAGTGATTAGACGTGGACATTCTCACAAGAATTCTGACAGCCTGAGATATTGGTTCACCAGCTATCCAGGCCATAAATGCGTCTCCACGGCCAGAGGCTCAGAACCCACGATCAAGAGCGGCGGCCGAGATTCACCGGGATTTCTGGGGTCACACCACCATACTTCACGATCCCAAATGTCGATTGGACTGCCCACTTGCACTAATCAGACTCCACTACGCGTAAATTCAGCCTCGATTACTCATCCAGGGACTCTTCCTATAAATACAAGACTCGAGCTACATTCAAAGGGTTCAAAAACACCAAAACAAGCCTCCCACGGAGCAACTTATTTTCTTCTGTAATGCACTTTCAATATCTTTACTTGCTTTCCTAGGAGTAGTAGTAGATTGTAAGGAAAACCCATTCATCAATATATCATACGACCCTTGATTTTCAAGGCGCCGGAGCACCATCCTTGTTGTTCGTTCACTCACCCCATATATCACACGACCGTCGCTCCCTGAGCAGCGCGCCGGAGCACCGCCCAAAACCCACCACCAACACCATCACTCAACGGCCTTGTAGTTCAG